GTGATATTTAGCCCATGTATGAGCTCCTAATACATTTTTTCTCTATCCTTTTTAATAAAAAATCTCCAATAAAATAATGTTACACGTAAATTTAAAAAAAATTCTTATTTTTTAACCACACATTTTTTTAAAACACTATTTCAAAATACATTTTCTCCAAAAACACATTAAAATGAATCCCAAACGGGGCTTAGTATTTTCATAATTGAATGAGGATAAATAAATGCCTATGTAGAATAATAATAATAAACTGTCGTTTAAAAAAAATTAGAATGAAATATCTTTGTTTCAATTCAAAGTAGCATAGATCACGTGTAGTTTAGCTTATAAGTAGATTTACTAATAAGTAAATAAGCAAGTTGTCGAATAACTAAGCATTCGTTTGGCAAATTTACAAATCAAAATATAAAGAAAAATAATAGAAGATCACACAAAATGTGTGCATAGTAACGAATAATCGATATGAATTTGAAATTAATATTTAATTTTGATTGAATTTACAAAAGAAAATTATAAATTGTATCCAAACGGAGTGTAAATTTTTTATTCATCGAAGTTGAAAATCTGTAAATACTCATTTTTTTTTTCCGACCTTTTATTTTAAACTTATCAAAACATAAGTGTGTGTTTGACTTTGCTTTAAACATGAAAAGAAGTAGATTCTTTTGATAACTTTTTTCACGGTAGAGCGTACCGAGTTTAAAAAATAATCAAAGAGAATCGATTCTTTTGACCTTTATCAAAGCTTTTATGAGTGCATGGCACTGACATTTAACCTATGTTTGATCCCTATTTTTTCAAATTTATTTTTAATCACACATTTTATATGATCTATATTTCATCAATTCTTATCAAAATCTATTTAAAATACAATTGTTAGCTAAATCAAACCTGAATTTAGTTTTCGATTAAAAAAAATGATATTTTGACAGTTAGGGTCTATCTTGAATCCTTGATCGAGTTTTGAAAAGTTAAAAACTACTTATGAATTAAGAAATCTTTGTAATTTGTTTGGGTGATTTTAAAGTGCTTTTCTTTTTCCTTTTTTTAGATGACCTTTTAGATAAAACTCTTCACAAAAAAAAAAAAAAAAA